GAAACGTGTAGCAATGAATTGCCCTCAAAAGTGTAATGGCTCTTTGAGTTTCTTTTTAAAAAAAATGACTTCGTCTGGTGTGACGTCAGGCTTGAACTAATCAGGCAGCAGGTAATTGAGAAAGTATATTTATTGAAAACCGTTTCAGGATCTATATCTGCCATGTTGGCTAGCCAATCACCTGGAGTGACGTCACATTTCAGGCTTTGGTGTGGGTAAAAAATTATATCCGCAAAACAGTTTTATTTTAAAAAATTAGTAGTTTTTAATCATTATTATCCGAATATCTCTAGACTTTAGAATTGACAGTAATTAATGACAGGATAGGACTTTCAATCGAAGGTTTCATCTCATCTTTAAATCATGTAGAAATCTTTATTGATACATGAAAGAAATATTGATGTTCGATCGAGGTTGACATACAGACGAGTTAGGTCTGGTGTAAACTCCTTCAACAGTGAGAAAGTAACGAAAGAGCGCTGGCTTTTAGACAAGAGAAATCTTCCAGACACCCTGAGGCACAGACAACCTCACTTATTCACATCTCTAAAAAAAATGCAAATCCCTTTATTGTGCCACATTAGGAAAAAACACTCTGGATTTAACCCATCCCCTTGGGGAGCAGTGGGCTGCCATCGTGCAGCGCCCATGGAGCAATCTTGTGTTAAGGGTGTTGCTCAGGGACCCAGAGTTGCAGTCTGACTTAGACTTAGACAACCTTTATTTTCATTTTGTAAACAAAGAGTGTAAACAAAATGAAATTTCGTTTTGGACAGCTTTCATAACAGTTCCATTCTATCAAGTGCAGCAGTGATCAAAGCATTGATATGGAAGTTCAGAGCATTAAATATATATGCTGCAAATATGCAATATTTTGGTTTGGTGTTATCAGTGTGATACAGAGTCTGTGACATGATTTAGAGTTTTTTTCAATAGCTCAGCGGTCTGATGGTAAAGAATCTGCTGGTCCTGCATTGAATGCTATGTAGCCTCTTCCCAGTGGACAGCAGGTAGAACAGTGCTGCTGACAAGCCCTACAGCTGAGCTGTTGATGAGCAGTGGAGTGTGGTTAGGCGGGTACTTCCTGGTCGTCTCTGATGAGGCCCACCACCGCTATTCTATGGGTAGGCAAACTGGAACGGGTTCAATGTTGAGCAAGATGAGCCGATATATGATGAGCAGTTTGTAAGACAGAAACATCTATTTTGTGGGTTTTTCCAAATGAGTGCAAAGGACCAAAGGTTTTAAGCTTTTTTTTTTGTTAGTTTCTAGTTTATTTATGTCATTAGTACTAACCAAACTTTTTACAGAGAAAACAAGATATTCTTAAAATAAAAATAAAAAATATTAGGTAAAATTCTTTTTTGTTAAAATTACATTATACAATTTCCCCAAAATACTGCATATTAATTTGGCTGTTTAACAAAAAAATACAAAAATAAATGAAAATGTTGTAAAATATTGATTTTTCCCTCTTGTGACAAAAAGCTGAGCCTGAGGTGTAAAGGCGTAAAGTAAAAAGGTGTAAAAAGGTGTAAAGTACGTATGAAGTTTAAAAACAGTCCCCAACCTGTGTAGAATAATATCAGGATTATTTGCTGCTAGTGCTGTATCGGATTTTCACTTTCACACATACGTGTAATAAATTTCTCCAAACTAAAACTACCCAGAATTTCTGTTAATAACTATAAATCTTTCGTAAACAATCTAATTTTGAATTCAGCATGTTTGACTGTAATTCAGACTGCCTAAAAAATAGTAAAATACTCCTTTTATGACAAAACAAAATACCAAAGCAGATATAAACTTTGCAACCTAACATTGTTTTCAGTTAACGGTTAGCTGCCGCACTCTAAAAGTGCTCAGAAATCATTCATACTTTACTATCTCTCTATCATAATTTTTCTATTTTGGGAGGAGACAAATTTATGAGTATTAGGGCAGGCTAGAGATGTTTTTATTTTCATTTCAAGAATACAGTTGCGATGTAACAAGAATAAAGTCATAACATTGTGAGAATAATGAGGTAATTTTATGATAATAAAGTTGAAAAATACAGAGAATGAAGTCATCGTACCACAACCCGTTTCAGAACGAAAGCTTTGAGCTCCGACCAGCATATGGCGGCCGACCAGCGCCACCAAACAGCAACCTGAGTCCACCCTGACATCCTGCTGCTGTGCTAAAAGATTTCCTTATTTGTCAAACCGATGTCAAAGCATGACTTCACATGATGCTCAACATTCCTCCTTTTAAGAGCTGTCGTAAAATACAAATTTATTCTCGTAATTTTATGACTATTCTCATTGCAACTTCATTCTCATAAAATAACCTTTTTCTCTAAATAAAAATGAAAAAAAATCTCTAGCCTGGCCCTAAATACTTCATCAAAGAAATGGGCACCAAGGATGATCCTGCCCTGCAAATGATTTTAATGTCCTTGATCCTAATATTTTGGCAAACCTGTGTTAGATATGTTCTTACTTGGAGTCAATAATAGCAAAATATGTTATTATCTTTTCCTAATTCATATGCATTAAATACTAAATAAATACTTTAAATATGAGTTAGGTTAAGAAAATTGATATTCAAAGTGTTTCTTCGTTACATACTTGTTATTTGGTAATCATGGTATTTATTTGTATTTCTTTTAAATTCATTTTATACTTTGTAACACCAAAACTTGCAGATTTAATAACACAGTTTTAAACAATAAGTCTGATGCTACGAGCCAGAAATGACTCAGTACTGTGGTTGCCATGAACTACTTTTTTACACTTGAGTCATTTCTTGGATGACAAACTGCTTTTACTTGAGTAAAAAAGTGTTTAAATAGTGCTACTCTTATGTGAGTAATATTCTTGGACCCTCCAGCTAACTGGTCATATAAATAACCAAAGTGTACAAATTGAACACAGTGTGTGTTGAATTTCCCGGAAGCCTGAAATACCCTTTGCAGCTGTAGTTTTGTGTGGTTGATGACTTTGTCATTTGATCCAGGATGCTGTGGGTCTAATATTTCTCCACTCAGCCCTGATGTCCCGCCTCCATCGCTGATCTGGATGGGGGAAACAGAATCTCATCTGGGAAGAAGAACACCCTCGTCGTAGCCCACCAAGGCCTGTTCCCAGTAACCCTGAGACTCCAGTGTGGAGTCTGTTGGCACGGCATGAAACACATAGCTCCTCTACGGGAGTGGATCTGAGGTTTACAACTCGGGCTCCTCACCCAATTAGGCTGGACCTTGCAGGCAAAGCAAAATAGGGTGAAGTTTTTTACAATGCCACTGGGGTCTTTAGAATGGATGGTTCTGTTTTGATGTTTTTTTAGGTAAGTCAGGGGGGCATACTCGGCTGGGAATGTACTACTCCCAAGTCTCTTTTATCAGAGCCTGTCAGAAGGGCCACGGAGGTAAACACACATGGGATCATTCTAGCATAATTATTTGGCTAAATACTGCATGATCTATCCGAATAGTCTCAAAAAATGCCTATTTTTCACACACGAAACAAAACAGATTATAAAATACAATTTATTTTTAGAAATATTTCATACAAAATCAATTACATAGCCTATATGGCAATAAATAGCTAAGGACAAAATGAAAGACAATAAAAAGAACAAGACTGTGTTAGAAACACCGAAAAAACTATATCACAACTTATCATTTTCTATTTAAAATGTAAAACTTACGATATGGTTAATAGGTATGTTTGTTTAATACAAGAGATGTTTACACAAACTTCTTCTTAGGAAACAGAGTTGCATCACTACACTTTACACATCCCAGACCATTTAAATTATATACATATAAAAACAAAAGATCTGTTTGAACAATATAGGAAAAGCTGTGCAACTCAAAATCTGCTAAAGACAGAAAACATGAGGAGCAACAAAGATAAGAAATAAGCCGTAATGTAAAGAAAAAATGCTTTGCTCCCTAAAAATGTCTAACCTTTTTAACATTTTTGTCCAACTCAAATGGTTTCGATAAGCAACTACATTTTCTTATCAGATACAGGTAGCTTGGATAAATACAAGTAAGCAGTTTTTAAATGCTGTGTCCATTCAAGAGGATGAAAGCAATAAAAAACACCCCAGTCCAGTGTGAAGAACACAGTTTCCCCCTCAGCCTAAAACTCTGCTGGGTAGTATCAGACATTGGTTTGGAGAAATCTGTCTTCTTTGAAGAATTTTTCTTTTTTTGTCAAATTGGAGGCCCAAAAATCCTGCTTAAAATCCTACCACTGCCTCTAAGTCAGATCAGAATATGTTCTTTTACTAGGCCACTGAAAAACCCTGATCTATTTTATGTTATTTATGCCCTTCTGAGGTGGATCTGTTGATGTGTGACTAATGTCCCACTGTATAAACTAAGTGCTCTTGAGCTTAAGGTCCTGAATGATGGCCAGTCTTTTAAAAATCATTATTTTGGTCCAGGTGTAATCTTCCTCAAAGTTCTACTTTTTACTCATCAGGCCACAAAAGTCCTTGGAAGGTTTACCACTGTCATGGGTTCTCTATGGCATTATTGTGGCTTGCTGGTGTCCCAATGCCTTAAAAATGGCTGTTCTATACTGAGAGAATGATGACATCCACCATCCAAGTGGGTTCTTTAAAAGGTACTTGAGGGGGTATTTTCCTGAAGTACCTTTGGTATAGTCTGCCTTTTTCATTTAAACAGCTCCAATGCTAGCTGATAGAATTGACTCCTGAATAGATGACGAAACATTGTCAAACTGAACGAAAGTCTGGCTCACAAGAAAAATATTTGCAAAAATAAAATACATCTATAAGGGACTGTTTCGCCACACATCCAGACATGAATAGTGAAGGATATATGCATCCTCTGTCATTTAGCAAGATATAGAAAAATTAGATGTATAAAGTCCAAGATTAAGTTTCTCATCAATTCCCTTTGAAAATGCAGACTTTTAAAGGAACAAAGACCAAGGATCATTTTTGTCAAGTCTAAGGTTTGTGCAATGAGAAGCAGAATACTACTGAGGGCTGTTGGTAATCGCTTTGAGAAAGTCGCAGGGGTTGTTAGAAATGACCTCTTTCATTTTCCGTACACGACGAGGAGTGGAAATGCCTACGTAACTCTCAGGATGAAGGACGGCCATGCCTTCGATGACATTGCCCATAATGATAAGCTGACTTTCAGCAGCTGCACTTGTTATGTTTGGGCATGGGCAGCTCCAGTCCATGTTGAGGAAGGTGACTTCAAGGGGTTCTTTGCCAAAGAAGTGTAAACCCATCTGCTCATCTTTAAAGATCTCCTCCACAGTCACCAGGGCATGGCCTGAGTCTTTTTCTTGTGTGATGTCTGTCATGTGACCCAAGATGACAAAGTCACTCTTACAGAAGCTCATCACCATCTTGCCTTTCGGCCTGCAAGTTTTGCATTGCCTGTTTCTCGGGAAGGGGCACATCTCCTCGCACGCATCTTTTGACTCAAAGTTGTTGTCATTTCCTTCGCAGCCTCCATAGACGAAGGAATGACATTCGTGCATGGTGCTGCTGTATGCCCACCGAGGCTCATATGCCTTACAGTTGCCCTGCAGGACAGGCAGTCCACAGGGGCTGGATAGCTCTGGACCGCAGCACTCAGTGCAGTCCTGGTACGTGTCAAAAATCCTTCCAGGTGGCTGGTCTCTGTTGCTGAGGCAGTGTGTGAAGGAAAAACAACTGTTTGATTTAGGCTCATAATACCAGCTGACTTTCTCCAGCTCAGTTCCACATTCCTCTGGGCTATCAAAGGGTTTCTGACATTCTTCCGGAAGGCAGCGGGTTTGGTTCTTCGGTACCGGAGTACTTAACGCCTCTGTTGACAGCACAGTGAGTTGGTGGTGGGCCTGGATCGAACCAGAGGGGTTGTGAGCCATGCAGGTATAGACACCTGAATCCTGCACCCGGGTGTTATAGATGACCAGCTGGCCGATATTTGTGACCACCATGTTCCCTTGCACATTATTGGGTCTCATAACCACCCTCACTACTCCCAGGGGCAGCCTCTTCTCCCACGTGATCTGCGGCTGAGGTTGGCCAGTGACATTACACACAAAGCTGACTGTTTCACCAACATTTACAGTCTGGTGAACAGGACTGCTTACCAGAACAGGCTTCTCTGGGTGCGCTGGAGGCTGAATGGTAGCCTGAAAGGGAGCAGTTGTAGGTCGAGGTGTGGTTACCTGGGGAAATGAGGGGCTTGTGTTGGGCCAGGCGAGATGGAAGAGACATGTGACAACCGAGAGGGTGATTCCCTTAGAGCATGCCTCTGCATCCATGTAACATTTATTGTAGTAAGTCATGCCATCAGAGGCGCAGGTGAAGTTTGGTTCTTTCTCACACCGGTCCCGGCATTTGCACATGGGGTGGCCGTCCCAGATGACACAATCTGAGCCCTGCTGGGTGCACATAAAAGTGGCACAGGAGGCTTTCTTGGGCATTCCAAAAGGGTCCTTCTTTTCATCTTTACTTCTGGCGGCTACACAACTGTGGTTCCCACAGACGTTTTGGCAACACTTTTCAAAGGACTCACACTCCTGCAAGAATTGAAGAAGAAAAAAAACACTTTTTAAGGCGGCACAGACCATGTGATGAATTTTACGAGTTGTTTTACACTCAAAAATGTTTTAAAATCGACAATCTGCCAAATACAGAATCTTGCAGCAAAATCCCAAATTGTCATATTACAAACTAATACATTTTCTATTATTTAATTTTAAAGACTTGGACATGAACACAGAAAAAATTTAATTTATTGAGAAATACAAATTTGAGGCATCCATTTCAGCTCTTTATACACATAAATAAACATTGATGTAAATAATGAGCTTTACATCTCACCTGCTTTATTAAACTAAGTCCACGTGTGTATTTTAATCTAAGCCAATTTTAAGAGGGAAACAGAGGTTTTGTTAGAGAACATTAGGGAAAAAGCAAGGAGTACAGGGAGCACATCTGACTAGTAAGAAATCATTTTAACATTAGTTTAAATAGCAAAGTTGCATAACTATCTACAAAGCTTTAAATATTTTTGGGGAAACCAAAAATATTTAAGATTAATAACATTTCTAAGGATGGACAGAGTAGGACCTCGCAACCTACAAAAAAACAAACCTTTAGTCTGACAGGTGTGCATACCACTATTTTTTCCTTTACAAAAGGGTGGCAAGAAAAGAAAAGGCAAAGTTGAAAGAAATCCATAAGAAGTCCAACTTCTCATGCTGGGGACAAACCACAGATGTTGTCAGGTAAGTGGAAATCAAATTTGAAGATTCAGCCTTATCATACCAAACACTGTTACAGAAAACCAACAGACTAACACATGGTAGTGGCAGCATCATGCTGGTCTCTCTTAAGAAGGATTTCTGCAGCTAAACTTTAGACTTGGGGTGAAGGTTTAGCTTCTAGTTGGGAATGGATCAGTTCAAAGCAGATTCATCTGTTTATTAAATATAATTGAAATGGGAAGACATCAAGATAATGACAGAGTTTGAGCTCTTTTCCAAAGAATTTGCCAGGACATTTGATTCCACTAAGCAGTGACTTATGGGTTAAAATACAAAGAGAAGATATTTGTTTTCTTTTTAAAAATTCAAAAGAAATCAGAAAACCATATATCATTTTTTTTCAATTAGGTACTTCTTTGTTTTGTACTCTTCATATATATATATATATATATATATATATATATATATATATATATATATATATATATATATATATATATATATATATACTACATGTAAAGTCTGTGGCATAAGGAGACTAAGCGGAAATAATCTAAGGAGTGGGAATACTTTAGGGAGACAGTTTACACCCTTAATTGCCTTAATTTTGTCTGAACATTCACACTTTAACAGCTATATCACATAAAATGTAAACTACCTGATCAGATTCACATTCCCGTGTGCAGGTGCTCATGGCATCCACCCACAGGTTGGGGTTCATCTCATTAGGGCAGATGCCTGCATGCGGATGGGTGACCTGGGGGAGAACCGCGTCGCTGAGATCCATCCGCGCACACGCGCACGCCAGGAAGCAGATCCACCGTGGAAACAGCATCCTCCGCATCCCTGAGTGCTGAAGAGACGGAGATGCGAGTCTGTGGTCCAGCTCCAAATTTCCACTTTTTCAATGGCAATTTTGGCGGAAAAAAGTATATTAAGCGAACCTTGTTTGCTTGAGCTGATGAATAAAATTGCAGTGATGACTTTCTGGTTGCTCTCCCTAATCACCACCAGCAACACTCGCCAAGTAACTCGCAACAGGACAATTAGGAGTTACTCTTCCGATGTTGGGGAAAGCTGTTTTAATAAGTAGGAGCTCCACTTTTGGGTGGGCTGGAGGGGGGGACCTGCCTGTTAAAGGGATTGTCGGTAACCCCGTTTAACCCTTTGAGGTCTCCAGAGCGCGCTGCGCGCCAAGACGCACCAAATAGAAAGGAAACGTGTTGCTTTGAGGCTGTTCATTTAACGACTAATTGGATTTGAACCATATGTTCTGTTTATCCACTGTGTTAATATGGTAATTAAAAAATTAGAAAGTCTGTTTTCAAACAGAAGTGACATGTGCGTGTTTGTTCTGTGGTAAGCTCCCTTTGTTGTGAGGATTAAAGTAAATACCGTTAACTGCGAACATATAATTCCCAGATTTAGATTTAGTCATTTTGATTAAACCATGTTGTTCAGGATTAAACTAAATTAGTCCAGAATATCTGAAATAATGATAAACAATGTAAAATTGTGCTAACTATGAAAAAAAAAATTGTATTAGTTCAGAAACATTTGGCTCCAAATTTGTAGGTTTAAAAAGTAATTATAATTATCTTAGTAATCAATAGAAACATCTTTATGGGAATTGTAGCTGTTTTCTTGTTAACCTTTTTCCTTTTCACAATTCCAATTCATAATTTATCATTGTTAATGAACTACATTAAAGGAAGGAAGTTCTTATTACCATAATCCCTTAAATTCCTCTAAAGGTTTCCTAGCAGAGATAATCAGGACTCTGTTTTAGCCAAAACATTTTTATCATATCAACTTATAAGATTGATGTTTATGGAGTTAAATATCAACTCACACTTAAGTCCAGAGTAGTGATTTGAACATTTAACAGACCATCTTAATTTGGTGCATGACTGTAAATTATATATATATATATATATATATATAAACATGATTTCCAATTAGTTTTACCCATGAAAATTTAAATGCATTGTATCCTGATAGCCTGATTATTCTATTCTTTGTTTGGTTGTGACTCCATCCTGGAGAGAAAGTTGATGGCTGCCATCAACACCTTTGTTTATAGATGTTCGAGATTGGGCCTGTCTTTCAGTGTAGTCCTGTTTCTCTGAATGTGACTGGCTGGATGTGCTCTCTTCATCCTTTGACATGGGAGCTGGCTTGGAGCTTGTCTGCTTAGCTGTGTGTTTCCTGGACTGGGCTGCCTGTGGAGCTGGTTTGCAGTTGCTTTTTGTATCTCTGCTTCTTTCTGTATCTCTGCTTCTGTCTCCTTGAACCCCAGTCGGCCTCGGCAGATGGCCGCCACACTGAGTCTGGTTCTGCTGGAGGTTTCTTCCTGTTAAAGGAAGGTTTTCCTCTCCGCTGTCACTACAAGCATAGTGTGAGGGATTGCCTTCGAGTCAATGAGTCGATGCAATCAGCTGGTTTTCCTTAGATAGAAAACTTTGAATCAATTTGACTGGAGGATTTGGTGAACTGTAAAGTGCCTTGAGATGACATGTTGTGAATTGGTGCTTTAGAAATAAACTGAATTAAATTGACAACTGAATTATTCTTTTTTAAGATAACTGTCAATCCTTCGTTTGTGGATCAGACTATTTTTTCCAATGTTTTTTTGCCTCTGGTGTAATGATTTTCACATGTATCCTCTTATTTTCGGTCATAATTATTATGATGTGTAACCACAGCAATCATAGCAAGTTGGTATTTTACATCCAGAAGCAGATCATCAAAATGAGTAGTCCTCCTAATTGTCAATCATTCAGTTGATATGTTTACGTAAGGCCGTCCTAAGTGCTCGTCCCCATTGTCACTTACCGGTGACATAGTGTCTGACATAGTGGAAAAATCGCAAATCTTCTTTTGGAAAGTAAGCTTTTATGAGTGATGCAAACAGCCGCTTTTAAACAGAGCTTGCATGAGGAAATTCTTGAATTCAATGGAGAGATTGTCCTCTGCTTGAAGCGGGCACCGCCCCCAGAGTGCTGGGTGAAGAGTGGAGCTGATGCCAGCCGACGGTAAGGGGCAACAGAGTCCTGAAGGGAATTTCGTAAGACGCAGAAGTAGCAGAACCAAGTTCACAGACCAGAAGATCAGAGAGCCGATCCAATCCAATCCACTTTATTTATATAGCACGATTTCAATAAACCAAAGGTTTCCAAAGTGCTGCAAAAAAAAAGATAAAATAACTAAAATAAATAAAAATGAATAAAAGTAAATAAAATAAAATAAAAGCACGGCCGGCACATAAAAATACGAAAGTGTATACATAAAATCAACATGTGTATACATAAAATCAACTGATGAGGTACAGAAGGGGAATCAAAGCCAAGGTAAGAAGAACTGTCCCAGTTTGGTGAGCCAGTAGAATCCAGGAATCAGTCCAGAACAGAGCAGATTAAAGAGCAGACAGGGGCAAAGCTAAACTCAGGATCCACAGGACGGAAACAGGTCACAATCAGATAATCAGAACAACCAAAAGAAGGCTAGAGTTATTCTCACCAAACAGCTTCAATAATCTGGCACTGATAGCTGGAAAACACGCAACATATATAGGAACGGGAAACAGGTGGATAAGATAAGCAGTAATGAGAAACCGGGCAGAGTTAAACAGGTGAGTGGAATGAGCAATCAAGCCAGCCACCAGTGCCAGGATCATGACAGTTAGCAGAACACCCAGGCTGCAAAACTTAAAGCAGCCCAGATTTTGAACTATTGGCATTTGGTTTTCATCCATATCTCTATTGTCAAAAAACAGGCCGCTATAGAAGAGTCTTTCTGTCTACAGGTTTTAACATCTAGAAACTCTTTACATTTCCTTTCCCTTAGGGATTAATAAAGTATTTTTCAATCGAATTTGATTTAACATTATTGTTTTTAATCCCGCTTTACTCTGACACTCAATACAAAACTCACAACAACCAAATGCACATCTTATCTGTCAATGATTTAATCTGAGCATGTACACTGTACTATTGTTTAGGCCCAACAAGCAGAGCGTTAATGAAAAATCCAACCATGAAGTCATCGTAATTCCACTAGGGCTGCAGAAATCTACAGCTTTGGTGCAAAAATCTTGACACAACTTTTTATACAGCTAGGCTTGCACTCTAGAAATCTGGCCTTTATGAAAGAGCGGACTTCCTAAATGAAGCCCTAAGAAGTTTTGTTGAAAGTTTGTCTGACAAGCACATTAAATATAGTAACAGACATCTTGGTCAGATGACAACAAAGTTTAATAGTTTATTGCACGGACAAAAATGATTTACATGTGAAAAATTGCAAATAAGATATAAATAATAAGTTATGGATTTATTGAAATGTATTCTATTTTATTTATGTCTAAAATACAAATTGAAAATTAATATGTAAATAATATTTGCTTCCATAATATTGTGCAGTATAAAGTTGGTAAAGATATATATTTTAGGGTTCCATGAGTCCAGCAGCGAGCTTAGGCAGACCTGACCAGACCGAAAGAGGCAGGCACAGCAGTTGAAAGGCAGAGACAAGACATGAGAGCAGGAGAAACTGTGGAACTTTAAACTGGTGGCCTCCACTGAGCCGAAACATGAAGCAAGGACTACGGACTTTAAACTAGCCCCCTCCACCATGCAAGCCAAAACACGAACTGGGCACGCGCAGCGGGCAAGAGCCAGGGCATGATCAGGGGACAACAAGAAAGAAACTAACAACCCTCTTACCACTGGCCTAACAAGAACAAAAACCTAGAACCAAGGCATAAGTCGAACTCAAAAACATTAACTCAAACATACAATGATCTGGCCCCAATAGCTGAGCTGAACTGTATATAAAGCAGAAGGAACAGGTGGATAAGATGAATGATAATTAGTGAGCAGGGAGGGTTCGGTAGGTGAGTGAGGAGAATAATTACATCAGCTATCAGGTAAGATTGTCACAGGTGACTGGTTTAATTATTCATTTCATTCACCTGTCTAACTCTGCCCAGTTTCTTATCACTGCACTTCTGATCCACTTGCTGCTGCCTCAATTTAAGGTCAAATCATTAGAGCCAGATTATTCTTGTTCTCTCTAGCTAGTTGTGAGTGTTTTTAAAGTCCCTTGGTGTTTCTGATTGCCAGATCCTGACCTGTTCTGCCTCTCAACCACTGAGCCTGCCTGTTCCTGTTCTGATCTGTTTGTCTGACCTAGCTTTGGACTCCTGGACCTGTGAGCCTGTCTGTTACTGTTCTGATCTGTTTGCCTGACCTAGCTTTGGACTCCTGGACCTGTGAGCCTGCCTCTTCCCGTTCTGATCTGTTTGCCTGACCTGGCTGTTTTCCTGGGCTGCAACATCTGGGAAACTCAGGGTGATACCTGCCGGCAGCCGACCGGCTGGATCCTATCCTCTTCTCTGGTTATGGACTCCTTAATATCCGACCAACAAATGCAGCCTTTTCCACCACAGGTCCCACGTTCCCTTCGTAGACTTAGGTACTGCTTCTGAAGGTCCTCTACAAAGAAATTAGCTCATAGAACAGTAGTGATAAACTTGGCATTCATTTTTTTGCCTGCTTTATGCGTCAACTGTCACAGTTGCTAGGCATCAGAGCAACTGTGAGAGCAACAGGACCCAGTCGAAGTAGACCACATCCCGCCGATGATGCAGCAGCTGGATTCGAACACACCTAGAATTTTCCTGACATTGATATACGATTTCATTTCTTCAGGCACAGATCGCAGTCAGTGTGAACCTGGAGTTAACATCCTTCAATCAACATTTATATGATTGGCAGGTAACAGCAACTCCAGTGGAGCCCACCATGGTAAAAATGTAGAACCAAGAGCCAGACAATCATTAATAGC